TACAATTGCCCGAGGGGATGTTGCCTGTAGAGGTCTTTTCTGCATCGGCCGAGGGGTGGTGTATTTAAGTGGCACTTTGGCAGGCGTGCTTATTTGGACGCACGCGTACACACAGGCGTGTGCGCACGTGTGTACGTGACTGAGTACGCTGAGGTCAACTGTAGGGGACCTCCGGAAAGCCGAAGGAAACGGGGACGCTGGCGCAGTTGTTATCGACTAGTCAGAAGCAGCTGTGAGATAGGCCTCGGGGGACTGGAGTGCCAGTGAATGAAAGTATTGGAACAGTTGTTTGTGATGACGCATGAATTTGGGCAGCGGACCTTGGAGAACGAAGGCGGGGAGGGGAACAGACATTGTGGCCGTCCGCCACTTATCTTAATCTCCAAAATATATTCTATATGCCATCCAAAATATGTCAGAAGGCACCAAATATAGCTATTTTTGCCTTCTGTGGCACCGAAGTAGACAGTTGCAAAAAATCCATATCCTACGACTACTGTCTTAAGTCTTTTTACTCATTACGTCAATTCGTGATCAAAATATTTATAACAGACATCAACCACTTTGTGTTAGAGGCTATAGAAATAGTAGCTTATAAACTGCAAAAGCATATTCTTTGAGCCTGACTTGAAGCTTCCGTTTTAACCACTTCGCAACCGACGCGGTAATAAGTAGATAAGTAGACGTGAAAGGGCACGATCTAGGAAACAGCTGACAATAAGGAGAATAAGAGGTGACTGTTTTTTTTTAAATGTTATGCCCCGTATTCCCTCTCGAACTTATTATCAAAGGTAACAATGGATACCGGTCGCAAAGGAATGTTCCTGAAATGGACCCAAAGCTTCGTAATAGTACAATGCTTGTCCCATACAAATCCTGGATCATAAAAATCTTGGGTTTGATATGGCTAGCTAGCTGGCTAGCGATAATCGCTAAGACGAAAATAGCCATCCACGTCTCCCTTATGTTTACTGCTACACGCTTTAAATTAAGTCCCAAGGTGTAACGGAGCACCTGCTCAATGAACGCTCTTGCTATCCAAACCTGGAGTTCGATATTATTAGCTGATGACAACTTATAGGTCAAAAAATGATCATCCCGGTCTCTCTTGTCATTGCCGACACTCTCCTGAATCTGCATTCTAATCTCGGGAGTGCCACATGGAGATGGGTCAATAGGAGAAAATAGGTCATTGTTACTCCACTGTCTCTGCCCTTGTCGGTAAAACCGTTTAGCTTCCTCCGCTTCTTTGCGTCGGTATCACAGCTAGATCCACTTTGAAAGTAGAAACATGCCTCCGAAAAGGACGCATTTCAATTCCGGTGATTTGCTTCTAGGCCCGCATGCCTAATTATTGCGGGACAATTAGCGCCCCGGCGCTTGGCGCAGGCAGTGGATAGGGGATGAACAACAGCAGGCAACACACCAGCTAAGCACGCGCTAGCTTGCTTTGTTCCCTAGCGGACATGTTGGCTACATGAGCGCGTGCGTATATGCGTCCACTTCGTATCGTCGCCGCTTCCGAAATCACGCTGGGGTGTTAGTTAATTCGTTGAAAAAGTTACACAGACCCAATACCACTGTGAGCAAAACAGTATGATTATTTTTCAGAACGCGGCTTTGGCGTTCCCTGCAGTAGTATTAGTAGTAATAAAAGTATCAGTAGCAGTAGCTGGAGGAGTAATACCGGAAGAAGGAGTAGTAGTAGGAGGAGTAATATAATTAATACTAATAGTAGAAGTATTTGGTAGAGGAGGAATAATAGTAATGGTGGAAGTATCATTTGTAGGGGGGAGGAAAAGGATAAGTAATAGTAGTAGTATTAGTAGGAGGAGGAGTAATAGCATTCGAAGAAGAAGAAAAAGAAAAAGAAGAAGGAAGATGAAGAAAGGAGGAGTAATAGTTGTACTAATACTACTGCTGCGCACGAGTGAATATTGCTTTCGCCCCTGAAATCACGCCCGAAAGATTATATAGTTCAGACACTGCGATGGAATGGAAATGCAAATAAAAAGTAGAACGTATAAAAGTAGAAAAAATAGGAATAATTATTGAAATAAGCTAATGTTTGGCAACAAGAAGACGTGCATAAATAAAACGCACAACTATTCAAATATCGGGAACTGCTCAAATTTGCGGAACAACGCAAATAACTACGAATTTCTGAGATAACACTAAAGTGAAGTAAAAAACAAAATAAGATGCGCATTTCATTAATAAATCTAAAACTAAACTACAAATTAAATTAAAACTAAAGAAAGATACGCTAAAATAAGCTAAACTAACTAAAATAAAAATAATGATGAGCTAAAAACTAAACTAAAGGCTGAACTAAAATATAAGTAAGTTAAATAAAGCAGACTAAAGAAACTAAGATAAGGTAAACTAGTTAAGCTTTTAACTTCAAAAGCAACCGCATGTAGCTAATAAATCTAAAACTGGACTAAAAATAGACTAAACTAGCTAGACTAAAAAAAATCTAAAACTTAAATAAAACTTCAAAACTTATCAATAAACTATAAACAAAACTAAAAATGAACTATAACTAAAAACAAAATAAAATAAAACTATTTATGGCGCGCTTTTTGTTGCCAAACGTTAGATTATTTAAGCACTTTTAAAACCTAAGTTAAATATACACCGTGCGTCCATCCAGAAGCTGTTCGAGATAGATTCTATCATGATGCTAGTAGTAGCAGTAATTATTGAAGTTACAAGAGTAGTAGTGTTAGTAGTAGTAATAATAGTGATATAAGTAAGCCTTGCCAGTGAGAAAATATTTTAGATGAAGATTTTGCTTACCATTTTATTTATGATGTAGGAATTTTAAAAACAGCACGTGTTCATGGAGCAGCAAATTCAGATATTTTGCTTTAAACTCGTATCCCACTTACTTGATCCCTCTAAGTCGGGCCAGGAGCGTATGCATTTTGGCTACCTCAGAATGTGGTATATTAGTTTTTCAGTCGCGGGCAGGCAGGGTCTCGGCCTAGTCAAATTTTCGGTACTTTAATGTGAACACGAAGCCGTCATTTATTGGACGGACAGTATTCGCCCGTCATAGCCATCAATCTCCCACTGTCGCATAGAAGTTAGCAATCCGCAACTGGCATCGGTCCTGCTCTCTTTTGCGGTCTCTCTGCATACAAAGCGAGTCCCTAGGGGAGGTTTTTGACTGTCATCTTTCCGCCGTCAATCGTTTCCTCCCACTACCTCTCCCTCTCCCCCGCCCTTATACAGCTCACCGTTGGCGTGATCCAGGCAACCGATCTGCCCGGCATGGATATGTCCGGCACTTCCGATCCCTACGTGAAGGTTTACCTGATGCCCGAAAAGAAGAAATTTGAAACAAAAGTCCACCGAAAGACGCTTAACCCCGTCTTCAACGAGACTTTCCTCTTCAAGGTGAGGTCTTTATCTGACCCTTTTTCGACTATAACCATTTAAAAATCTAAAGACTTTTTCAGCTCCACAACAGATGTCGTAGTTTTTATTGGCTATCTGGAAAGCTGCTGGCCAGTGAATGTAGACTAACCCTGTGCGGAAAACTAGGACTCTGATATCCTGTTTGCGCGAATGTCTGGTTTTATTTAGGGGGTTATGGCAGCTTTGCTTAATTTAGTTGACTGAATTGTGAAAAAACTTGCTTGGGTAGTCTGCTTGCTGTTACCTATTGGTGGGTTCCATACGAGTGCTAAAGTTGGGCGGGTAAAATCGATCTAAGTGTGATTAAATTCACGGTGCAAGACGTGGCGTTTGTAGCTCAAGTGGTAGAGCGTTGGCTGCTTAACGGCCTTCCCTGCTATGCGGGTTCGAGTCCCGCCAAACGCCGCGAGTTTTTTTCACAATTGGGTCAACTTAATGTCTGGTTTGTCCTCTTCGAAATAACAATACATGTGGTTCTTCGGGTACGGAAAAATAAGAGTTTGCATCTTTTCATTGACGGCAGCTTAAGTAGCATTTATCGTCATCGATTACTTTATGCCTACGCGAAATAGCTGATTTTCTCCTAGTGGTGGACAGAAGTTCGTACTCAATGTCTACTTTCATGAAACCCTCCTCTTCCCCAGATCATTCGTTTTTTGTGAGAAAAAGTATGTAACACTGTAAGTTATGCTTATGGGCCATAAAATTCAGTCCTATGGGAGCAAACCCGTTGAAAAGTAAGTTGTGGGTAGAAAGCTTACCAAATGCCAAACTTCTGAAACCCTCCTATGCACTGCTTCCAAGCAACAAGACAAACACCCAAAGCGTTAGTTGCGAAAATTCCCATTAAAAAAAATAACTGGAAAGATAATTCGGTGAGAGCAAACGTTTGCTCTCGCTAACATTGTCTTTTCGGAGCTAATTAGAACGTGACAGAACTGATGCACATTCAGAATGTACTGACGCCATAAAATCTCGTGACCCCTTAATTAAACTGTTCATGGTCATTGCATATTTATAAACTTACTGATTTAATGTAAAATCGGCTTAAATTGATCAAAGGAAGTAGACAGGGAACGTGTGGGGTGGCCATGATGTGGGGGGGCAGAGTTATTAATAAACCGTTACCTTTATGAATATACAAATACCGTGATCGGATGAACAAGTTCTCACAGAGTTTTATGAAGTCACGAGACTCTGTATGCTTTGCTACATCTGGTTAAGTTGTATTTTCTTTACAAAATGTGCGTGGCCATATGGGTGAGGGGTGGGGTCGGACGAGACCTCAGGCGACTGATCAGCTAGGTGGTTGCCTGTTGCTGGGGGTGAGGAAAAGAGTAAGGTCGACTCTCAGCACATTTCTCTTTTCCTCACTATAAGCAATCTGATGCGCTTGAAGCTATTGCGGTGCGCTAAAAGCCATGGCTTGGAGGGTTGCCAACTGACGGGACAACTTGGAATCCGCAGTGGCCTACTGTGGGCTGAAATTTAGGCCCAATGGTCCCTTCTTAATGTTGTTTTTATGGCGCTCCCAGGTGAGAGCATAACTACTGAGGTGTGCTGTTTGTACTTGTGTTGAGTGTTGGTCGCGTCAGCCACCTGCGCCCTCTCCCATCTCCAGTCTTCTTGACATTTGTCTTGACATCGGGTCCGGGTAGATCCGGCGAGTCTACTTTCACTGCAATCCAGCCGCAGTCACCGCACTGCTTCAGCTTGCTGAAACGTGTGGTGGACATCGTCGAGAGCGACGATCGAACTGACGGGGGTGGGGTTGAAAGCATCTTCGCCGGAGAGAACTACCTGCCATTGCACACTACCATAAACCAGATTCGCCCCCCCCCCTTCCGCATATCCCAATTAGAATCCTCCTGTAGACAACGCAGAGCAGCGGCTAATCAAATAGCACTGCCGGCAAAAACAAGGGCGACTGGAATGGCTACTTCTGGCTCATTAGTCATCATCAGCCAGTCATACCCAACCCAAAGTGATGCACCACCCGAGGCCCCATAGTTAGAGCGTTAGACTTTTGACCGAAAGAGGTCGCCAGTTCGAGCCTCGGGTGGTGCACCACCCTGGGGCTGGATACGATTGGCTAATAGGCCAGAAAAGGCCATTCCAGTCTCTCCTGTCTTTGCCAGCAATGTTCGTCTACCTACACTACTAGCCATTGTGCGGTTGTTGGCACGGCTCGAGAATGAGTCCCAAGGCAGAGCGGGACGAGCGAGTTCCGTTAGCGATCAGTGAAAGTCCATCAACGGAAGTAGTTAATCCTTCTTCTACATGATGTCTATGCCTTTCTGTGGCCAAAAGGTTGCGTTGCCAAATTGTTGTAACGGTGGCC